TGATGCACAATGCAATTGCTCACCACCCGCCGACCAATACCTGGACAGTTCCCGAGCAGCGATCGCGGCTCCCCGGCCAACCCCCCCAGTTTCTATACTGAGCATGACGTCATGTGGTATGGAATAGCCCTTTGGTCAGTTTGCATCAACTATTTTGGCTGTGCCCCCTCCCAGTTTCTTGTGCACCTGGCAGAGCATGGGAAGCTGCAAAGTCCTTGACTAGCATAAGCAGTACTTAGCAACAACTAAACCATCAGTGTGTTATCAACATTCTTCTCCTACTAAATCCAAAACACAGCACTATGCCTGCTACTAGGAAGAAAATTAACTCTATTCCAGCCGAAACCAGGACATATGTCTACTAAGAGCAATTTCCCCAAGCCAGTTTTTGCCAAGAGTGAAAAGCTATCAGTCCCAAAAGATTAGGGTCAGTATCAAGCCACTTGGTGCAATCATTGAGGCTTTTAAGCCTTTTGTTTTGGTTACCTACAGAGCTTGCAGAATTTCCAAACTAGCTGTACTAAGAAACAATCTGGGAAAGGAAGCATGCAAATCCAAGAAGCAGTAAGAGACCCTTTCCTTCTTCCATCTGCTCTGGACATTAAAGTACAGTTATTATTAGGTGAAGTCTAACATCGCAGCTGACATCCAAGACTAGTGAGATGTCTTGAGGTATTGATAAATGAATACTTATAGACCTATACTCTGAAAATCTGACTTAAATTCAAAAAAATTACTGCTTAGAAAAAGTAATTTTCCTGCTCCCATTATAGCTCTGTAACCCTGCTCTCTCACTGCCTCTATGCAAGTGAATGTGTGGCTATACTTTGTGCTAAACTAACCATTCTTTGTCACTATCTAAGTGCCTGTGTCTATCTGAATATATAGTCTGGCTTGAAACTTTAAAGTGCTGAATTTTCTTAGATTGATATTACGGAAATCCAGTTGAATGTCTGACCTCATGTCCACAGCTACTTAGCACGTGAAGCTTACATGCAGCCAATGCACTGCATCAGAGTGCTTGATACCATGTTGCATGGCTTTATAAATTGCTGAAGTGTCCAGCAGAATACCTGAAATCAAGAAAGAGAAGAGATGTCTTTCCTTCTGTCTACTAATTTATTATACTAGAGATTTCCTCTTAATTATTTTTGAGAACCCTGAAATACTTAACTGCTCCATTTCTCTTTTTTTCTGGCACTAACTAGATCACCAATGAGATTGTAAGACAGCTGATGGAACAGAAAGGTTTCTACAATTTGGAGAAGCCAGGAGAATTCACGAATGTGGTTGACATCCAGTTTGTAGCTGCTATGATTCACCCTGGGGGAGGTCGGAACGACATCCCACAGCGCCTGAAACGCCAGTTCACCATCTACAACTGCACACTGCCTTCCAGTTCCTCTATTGACAAAATATTTCAAACAATAGCTGAAGGCTATTTCTGTGAACAACGAGGTTTCCCTGCAGAAATATGTAAACTGGCTTCAGCATTAGTATCTACAACTCGAAAGGTTTGGCAGACAACAAAAGCGAAGGTAAAATTACATCTGTTAAGAAGCCTTTGAAACATCTGTACCATGACAAAGCAACAAGACCCAGGTCTTTTGTACTGTCATGTGTGTTTGTACTTCATATTTTGAAGCTGTGACCTGTATGTATAACTCCTGGCTGATGCCTCTGTTCTGAATTTGTTGCTCTCAGCACCTAGTTAGCTGACTAAAATAATAATCATATGCAGTGCCTTATGTAGCTAATAAGAATTACATTATATAAGTATAATATAGTAAGCATAGCTGACAGGAAGATTTAGAGGTCTTCTGGTTGAGAAAATGTCAAGGGCATAAGGAACCATAAACTAAAAATTAGATAGGAATCTTCTGTAAAGATGTTTGGGATTGTGAGAAACTTTAAAGGATTCAGTGAGAAACTGAATTAAAGAAAAGAAGTCAAATTTGGTGGAGAGGGAATCAGTTCAAAACAAATCTGATATTTAGTAAATTCTAAATATTTACTTCTTCCATTTCAAACAGATTGTAAAAACATTTAACTGCAATTCCTAAGCAAATGTTGCTTTGAAATAGAAAATAAAATTTATGTGTAGACTGAAATTTGAAAAGTTAAGAGTAAAATGACAGCATAGAAATGTGTGCCAAATTTGATCTTCTAATGAAAAAAAAGTGGAGGAGAGTGGTGGAAAGATAGGGATAGGTAGGGATTTGATAAAAGATATTTTCTAGTCCAAATAAGGTTGGTCAGAATTTCCCAAACAACTCAACTATAGACACGAACTTGGCTTACACAGAGAAATAGAGAGAGTTCTAGTGAAACTATTGACCAGTATGTTCAACAGAATTAGTACTTATTACTGCTAATTAACTGCCTATAGAGAAAATGTAGCTTTTGCTAAGTTGTTGGTTTTTTCAAATCAACTTTTCTCATTTTTCTGCTCTCTTTTCTTGGCTTTTCATCATGTACTTTTCCTCATGAATTTTTCCTCCCATGTTCTTTGAAAAGAGAGTGACAGAAATCATCTGGAAGAAAAGGCAGGGGCAACACCACAGGTTAAGCAATACTGACATTTTTACTGTGGCCTTTAATGTTAAATAACTTGTCTTGGCTACCCCTCAGTCCATGTTCCTGGGACTTGAAAGATTCAAAGAAACTTGAGTGAAATCTATGTGAAATTAAACAGCTGGTCATTGCTACTGTCATTTCTTCATTTTTACCATTGCCTCTTAAATGCCAAGCATGTATTTCTGCTTTAATGCAATACTGATTTTGAAGTTTGTGAAAATTTCCATATTCATTTAATACTAGATAGATAATACTTTTATTTAGTAGTTATTTGAATATAGCTTATGACATTATTTTGTAGATGTTACCAACTCCCGCTAAATTTCATTACATCTTTAACTTACGAGACCTCAGTCGTATTTGGCAAGGAATACTTACAGTTACTTCTGAAGTCTGCCAGAGCATCAGTGTTTTGGTAGCCCTGTTCCAGCATGAATGCAGACGTGTTATTGCAGACAGGTTCATCAGCCAAAGTGATAAAGACTGGTTTGAAGATATGATGAAAAAGGTAGGCAAATAGTGTTCCAGTATTTGCCACAGAAAGAGGTCAATGAAATGTTTCATTACTAAAGCAATCCTTAATGTATTGTTGTAGGTTGCTTCTGCAGAACATAGTCAAAATCTATTTGAAGATAAATCCACAGAATTATACTTCGTGGATTTCTTGCGTGATGTCCCAGAAGCTACTGGAGATGAACCTGATGATGCAGAGTTGAAGGCTCCTAAAATTTATGAGCCTATCCCATCTCTGGATTATTTGGCTGAAAGATTACAGATGTTAATGCAACAGTACAATGAAACCATCAGAGGATCAAAGATGGATTTAGTATTTTTCAAGGTATTAGTGCCTGTAATTATATTAATACAGAACGTGCCAGGTCTTTTGCGCTTACTGATACATGGATCTTGTATGTTTCTATCAAATTATTTTGGAGAGAGCTCAGAATGGCTAGCCCTGTATCCAATGAACCTTACAAATAAACTCTACAAAGCTATGCTGCTGTCTCCCAGCTGCCTTCACTCTCACAAATTATTCCATCTCTTTGCAGTTCCCCATCTTTTTTTCTCCTGCCTTGCATAATGCAAAGCACAACTCATTTGTTTCTACAGTGCACATTGTGAATGTCATCTTGCATCTCTGAAAGATACTTCCTTCTCAAAGGTTTCTTGATGCACAATGCTTTCTTCAGCTTTAAGCGGGGTGGTTGGTAGATTTTTAGGGCATTTCAGATTAATTCTTGCTCTAAGATAAATACAGCAGGGGAATAAGAAATGTCTGTAGTGTACTCGTACTTTACTTTTGGCAGCCTATTTAGAGAGCCTGTAAATAGCTCAACTAAAAGGCTGGGGGAGGGTGTTAATCCACATCCCTTCTACTTTTCCTTGTGTTCCCTAAGGGACATGCCTTACCTCTGCCAAATAAAAACACTGCATATGAAATTGCTTCATATGAGCTTGATACAAGGACATTTCTCTTGGGCTAGCCCTGCTGCCCACTGAAGTCGGGGGGAAATCTCTTGTTGATTTTGATGAGTACAGGACTGAGTCTTTGGCGTAGGCCCCAGAGAAGTCATATAGCTGTTGAGAGGCAGTTGCTTGGTAATGCGCTTCTAGTTGAATATACATTATATTATTTTTACATCTTTTCATCCCTTTTTCTCTCAATAAACAGGATGCAATCATCCATTTGATTAAAATATCACGGATTATTCGTACTCCACAAGGAAATGCATTGTTGGTGGGTGTGGGTGGATCTGGAAAACAGAGTCTGACCAGACTAGCGTCATATATTGCTGGATATGAGAGCTTTCAGATTACTTTAACAAGGTAACACAATGCAGTGTACATAGCCATTTACTCGTTAATTTGCCATAGAAATTAACATCTCTTAAAGAAATGCAAACCTGTCAAACATTTTATCCCTCATTGTAAACTACATTTTCAATCAAAAGCATCTGTGCAAATGCACAGTCTATAGATGACAGATCCTATGTCTTTGCTTTGCTGCCTTTATGCTATTGACAAGAAATCTGTCTTTCCTTCTGCATTTGAGTCTGCAATGCACCTCTGTGAAATCCCATTAAAACACCATTTTGCACTAAAGGTAACATGGAATAATCTGCTGGTGTATTCTGCATACTGGGCAAATGCTGATGGCCAGGGGAAATAGTAACTTTTTCTATAGATGCTTATGTACCCAGACTGTATTATTACAACTGCTATCAATGACTTAATAGTACATCATGCTGGAATTTAGTAATTTGTAGAAATTTGAAGTGACTGGGAGTAACTACTGCGTTCCATCTGTTTCTCTTTTGACATAGGGTTTACATGGGGAAAGCACTGAGGGCCAGCTGTGTGTATTTCACTCTGCAAACTACTCAACACACTGAAAAAACTTCCTTAGAGAGATATATCAGGTCTTTGAACAATGTTATGAGGTTTCTGATGAAAGGAAAGAGAAAGAAAGACATATCACAGCCTCTTCCTGTGTCCCAGAAGCAGAAGGAAGGAACAGTGGGAACAAAAAAAGAAGGGAAAGAAAAAAGTGCAGAGTCACAGAATAGAGTCCCTAGACTTGCAAGATTCAAAATGCATTAATAAGGCAAATAAATATTTCAGTCACTTAGGAAACGTTCATTTGCTGAAGCTAACTGGAGGTGGGCTAAAAGCAGGTAGCTGAAAGTGTGTATTTAAAAAGCGGATAGTCATCTTTTGTAAATTGCCACAGGAGGCTGTGGAGGAAGACAGTATCAGCAGGTTCATAAATGGGTACCGAGAGGACAAGATGAACATACCTCTAATATTCCTAATACATTGGCTATGAATATGGAGGGGGGAAGAAAGAAATAAGCAGTGAAGAGTGGATGCTGGCTCATGTTTTCTCTCCAAGTAGCATTTCCCATTGCTGATGTTAAGAGTATTGAGCTAGATGGCCTGCTGTTTTGGTTGGATAGCAGTTGGTTAGACTCAATGATCTTAAGGGTCTTTTCCAACCTAAATTATTCTATGATTCTATGATTCTGGCTCTGTAGAGAAATTCTTATGTTCTTATCAGAATACCACAAATCACTGTAATAACTGTAGTAGCTGACACATGCAAACTGAAGAGTTAGATGGTTTTACAAGTTCTGCAGTGCTTGCATTAGGGATATTTATAGAGCAGTTGTAAGATGGAGCTGGAAAAGAACTGGGAGATATTCTGTATGGCATAAATTTCAAAATAGAGTATTGTTTTCAAATACTGAAGAATGGGACGTATGTATTGCAAGTATTACTTATGACTTTGAAGTGAGTCTTGGAAATAACTGGTTTCAAAGAAAAGAGGTTCTTAACTTCAGCTTTAATTGGCTAAGAACATAAGGGACAATATCTGCCATTATATTAACCTTAATTTATTTCATTTGATATTGCATAATCTGAAATCTGTAGTTGAATTTGCATGGACTTAATCTGAATCTTACTGGTATGTACCAGCTGAAAGAGGTGTAATGAAAAAAACAGTCCTGGTCTCTGCAGCAGAGTTAATCAGCCCAAGTTCAAGCATAATTTATGGGGCTTGATTTCAGTTAAACCAAATAACACAATAAAAACCTCAGTCTTGGTTATTCTTGTCTCTTAGTGAGTTCCTTTAGCCTGCTCTCAATATCTTCAAAAGATAATCCAGCTGTATTTATGTAGTGGTTACAGATATCAGAACATACTTGACAACTTAATCATAGAATCATAGAATCATAGAATCATAGAATCATTTAGGTTGGAAAAGACCTTTAAGATCATCCAGTCCAACCATTAACCTACACTACCAAGTCTACTCTAAGCCAATCAAGGGTAGACTAGACTAAACCATGTCCCAAAGTGCCACATCTACCCATTTTTTTAACACTTCCAGGGATGGTGACTCCACCACCTCTCTGGGCAGCCTGTTCCAATTCTTGACCACCCTTTCCGTAAAGAAATTTTTCCTAATTTCCAACCTAAACCTCCCCTGGTGCAGCTTAAGCCCATTTCCTCTTGTCCTATCACTAACTACATGGGAGAAGAGACCAACACCCACCTCACTACTAATCCAGTTGTACTAACCTTCGGTTCTAAAAAAGAGTTTACGTCCACAGACTGTAGGGAGGCAAAGCAGCATATTTACCTTAGACAAAGTATTGCTCTTACCATCTTTTTTTCCAGCATGTTATTCTGTTGATTTCACCTCCTTTCCCATGATTTATGATACTGATCATTCACTTTGGGAAAATGTTTAAGAAAAAAACACTAAAAAAATGAAACCAGGAGATACGGTTTTAATTTCTTATATAGATTTTTTCTTGCCTTAAGAAAGCTGAGCCAGATGATAGATATTTCCTAAAATGATCTGCAATTTTTGTTCTCTCTTTCTTTAATCCTTTTCTATCCCAGAACATATGCCACCAATAACCTTTTGGATGATCTGAAAATCTTGTACCGCACTGCTGGGCAAAAAGGAAAGGGCATTGTCTTTATATTCACAGACAATGAAATCAGAGATGAATCGTTTCTTGAGTACATGAACAATGTTTTGGCTTCAGGTGAAGTCTCAAACCTTTTTGCACGAGATGAAATAGGTGAAATCACACAAGACCTGATACCAGCAATGAAGAAGGAGTATCCAAGGCGTACTCCCACTGGTGAAAATCTTTATAATTACTTTCTTGCTCGAGTTCGTAATAACCTGCATGTTGTTCTTTGTTTTTCTCCTGTTGGGGAAAAATTCAGAACTCGTGCACTCAAATTTCCAGGTCTGATTTCAGGCTGTACCATGGACTGGTTCCAGCGCTGGCCTAAAGATGCTCTTGTAGCAGTTGCACAGCATTTTTTAGTTTCCTACCATATTGAGTGCACAGATGAAGTGAAACAGAGCGTTGTTAACACCATGGGAACATTTCAAGATATTGTAGCTGAAAAATGTGTTGAATACTTTGAACGATATAGGCGACGAACATTTGTGACTCCAAAATCTTACCTGTCTTTCATTGGAGGCTACAAAGCTATTTACAAAGAGAAGTTCGCCAATGTTGGAAGTTTGTCTGAACGCATGAGAACAGGTACTGTAAAATCTGTTTGATTTTTGTTTGTTTGTTTTTAAAAAGGTGAGAAGAATCTAAGTAAGAGAATGGATTTAAATTGTGAGCTCACTTTCATTTGGAAGCAGACTCATATGTTTTCAGCTGTGTTGTGTGTGATTACAAAATATGTGGAGATTTTGTTTCAATGAATTTTTTGAATGTTGCAGATTGCAGATGAGTTCTGAAAATAGTATTAGTTAGCAGTTAAAATACCTGAAACTTCTGCTTTGACATGTATGCATGTCAAGGAACTACTGAGATCCTAGTTTTCACGTTTAAACATGCTAAAACTGAGGGAAGGTACGTAAATGTTCAGATTCATTCACTCTGAAGAATCTTTTAAACAAACAGTTATGTGCCAAATGTAAAATTCCCAAAATATTGCACTGCACAAGGTCATACAAAGTAAACAATTAAACAGTTTCTGAAACTGAATGCTGTTTGAAGGTGAATGTGAACTGAAACAGTTTCTTCTCCTGCTGTTGCCAGTGCAGAACTGGGCTATGTACACATATCTCCATAAGCAGAGGAGCTTTTTTTTGAGGTTAGAAAGATTTACATGATGCATTTATGTTTAGATGCATGCATTTATATATAAGGATTTTTATTCTTATAGCTTTTCTAGGTGATTTTCTCATCATTTGATAAAAAAGTTGGAGCATTGCATTGCTCAAGAATCTTTACTTTCTTTTACCCCCATCTCAGCTGGACGTTCATGTAGTGTTGAATTTAGAAGCTCAGCCTAGTCTCCTTGTGTCTTCACTTGCATTGCTCAGGATGCAAGGTTTCTCCTCTTTGTTTTGTACAGAGAGTACACTCTGGTACTTATGGATTTCTGAAATTGCACACAAAATTCTTAAGAGTTCCATTCACAATACTAATGCTTTTCAATATGTGTGTTTAATATTTAGTGTCCCTCTCATATATAAGAATATAAACAAGTAATCAAGTGACAGATTCTGAAGACTCTTACCCATTAAAAAAAAAAAAAAAAGAAAAGAAAAAGCTTTAAATAGCAAATAGATTATTGCTTAATTATTGCTTAATTTTGGTGTTCAACAAATGGGATCACTCAACAAATGGGGCTCCTAAATACGAATCTGAGTAACTTATTTTAAATATCCATATTGCTTCACTGAGGTTTCTCTCTCGATGGGTCTTCCTATTGCTAAAATGGAATTTGTTCAACACAGGTCTTGCAAAACTGATGGAAGCTGAGGCTTCAGTAAATCAGCTCTCCAAAGAGTTGGTGATGAAGGAGAAAGATTTGGCTTTAGCTTCAAAAAAAGCTGATGAAGTTTTATTGGAAGTAACTATGAAAGCCCAAGCTGCTGAAAAGGTAAAAATGCAGGTGCAAAAGGTAAAAGACAAGGCTCAGGCCATTGTGGATGACATTGCCATTGATAAAGCAGCAGCAGAAGAGAAGCTTGAAGCTGCAAGACCTGCACTGGAAGAAGCTGAGGCAGCCCTGCAGGTCAGAATCAAAGTTATTCTGAACATGCATGTAGTTAATGATTGTTGTTTGTAATAATATGGGTTATGCTTCTATGTGAAAAAAAAAGTATTGAAAGGACTAGCACTGACCTGTTAATCCTTGTAGAAAAAACCCTGAAAACTGAGGCAGTGGAGAGGTAAGATGGGCAGTACCTCCTCTGCGTTCAGGTAATAAAGCAGTCATTGAGTGGTACTACCTTTAAGGACTTTCTGCAGTACTGCTTCTGGGTGACCTGCAAAACTGCAGCAATTGCATTACATGTACAGTCCTCCCAAAAACCATCTTCCTCTACCGTCAAGTGATTGCTTAAATAAATGGATTATTTTCTTTTTTAATTTTTCAGACAATAAAACCTTCTGACATTGCAACTGTTCGCAAACTGGGTAAACCTCCTCACTTGATAATGCGAATTATGGATTGTGTGCTACTTTTATTCCAAAGAAAAATAGACTCAGTAACACCTGATCAAGAACGCCTATGTGTGAAGCCATCGTGGACTGAGGCTCTGAAGCTAATGAATAATTCAGGATTTCTTAGCATGTTGCTTACTTTCCAGAGGGTAAGAAGTTAATAGTGGCACTATTACTCCTATAACTATCTTTAGAGATGATTTCAAAGTGTTTTCTACCTTCAAAGGTACTTTGAAAAAGATAAGGCTTTTGTGTACCTATAGCTGTAGATACTTCATGACTGTATTCCTCTCCATTTTCATCATTCATTATTTCAGTAATCTTTCTCCTGGTTTTGACGACAGACACAATTATCCCAAGCACTAGATCAGATCTTGAGAAGCTTAGTGTTATCTTTGTTCAGGCATTTCCTGCTTCTCAGTAGGAATTTGCCTTAAAAGGACTCACTGTTGATTTTTCAAATGGCTCACCATCTCCAGTGCTACCAGGCCTGTTTGCATATAAGGCACTCTAGAACTCCATCTCCAGAATTGTTTGGTGGGGAGCTAGGAGGAAATGCAGAAGAAAATGAGCTTCCTGTCAGGAAAAATACTGAGATATTTTGGAACTTTCGGGGTTCTTTCACTAGAAAAGTAATGAAATGCAGAATGAACTGAGAACCTTAGTATCAACTGTAAGAAAAATAAAAGCAAACACAGGATTTTTATTTCTGTCAAGACAGAAACTTGTCCCGTTTACAGCAAGATTCACTGGACTGTGAACAGGAAAATTTCTCTGCAGGGAAGAGAAGAAAGATGTCACAGGTAGCTGGACCAGAAAAAGAGCCAGGCTGGACTATGGAATGGCAGAATCATGGCCCAACTTTAAAATCCAGAAAACCAAGCAGGTTTTGGCAAAACCTGGGTTTTCTGCAACGTTGCAGAACATACTCTTTCACTTGGGCACTGATTTTTTAATCTGCTTCAGCTGTGCATTTTGCTGATGCCTTTTCTGAGCTACTGGAGTGTTTTTGTTGTGCAGATGAGGCTTGAAACCATGATTCTCGCTATCCCCAGGAGCCATTTCTCCCAGTGAGCCATATTGACAAGGGACCATGTGGAAACTTGTACTGCCTCTGTAGACAGTCTGTTCCTGGGGCTGTCCATCTGGCCACTTTTCCAAGTGCTATCTTCACTAAACAGAAAGAGGAAATGAGTTTACAGATAAGGGGGACTAATTATGCACTCCTTACTCAAGCTTCTCTCTAATGAGGCTTCCAGTTTTGGCACTTATTAATAATGTATGTGTTCCTGCTGGTAGTTTGCAACACATTTAACTTTACTTGGAGGAGTCAGAACAACCTTTGTGGGACTGAGATCTTTAAGGAAGTGGTACAGATGAATGTGGTGAAGAACACTAGACTACTTCTGTCCTTGATGAGGTACTTCACATGCTGTCCTCCTGCCTCATTTCTTGTTTCTAAGACTGAGTGTATATGAGAAGAGATCTCATTGTGTCTGGAGTTCTGAGTAGCCTACACTCCTTACTTGTTTGTGAAATTTTTGTTCTTTCCTAATTTTTTTAGGCAAGGAAGATTAGTGGATGAAATAGTTCCTTGGGTTTAAAATTCATTACTTAGAAGGAAAAGCATGACATTTTTCAAGCTCTTGAACAGAAATTTAGGCCACTGCTTACTGGTCTTTGCTTCACCTTTGCCATCTTGCTAGCTCATAACTTTGGGTAGGAGAATGAAGAAGTCAAAATGTTTGTCCAGCACTACTTTACATTTTAGCAAATGCTCATAGTGAAAACATGACCATGTCTGATCTTAGGAATAATACAATGAATGTCTTTGTTATTATAGTAGGTAGGGAACAGACAAGTACAAGACAGTCCTTTCTGCTATGCAGAAAAGCAGGAAAAAGGTATATTGCTTGACACTATGAATGGAGGATGATTTTTAGATGCATTAAAAGAAAGACATTAATACATTGCCAAAAAAAAGGAAGATTCTTAATGCCTCTATTGTTAAGCAACCATTGTCACCCTGTATAAGCTCTTCTACTCTCTACATTGCTTAAGGAGATGAATTCCATTTTCTTCTGACACTTAATTATAGATTAACCACCATCATCAGATATCTGGCTTTTCACATTCTCGACAGATTGTGAAGGGGGGAAAAAATCTGAGATTAGATTAATGAAGTTAACAGCTGAAAGAAATCACTTTTATGGTTAAGGAAAAGGGTTAGCTTCAGTGAAGTCAAGTCAGTACCTTGCAGTTTCACCCTTTTCCTTCCTAAAGCTGCATGTTTGACTCCCTTAGCTGTGTTCACACTGGTGCCTGTCTGATGCCATGGTGAGCTTGTTCAGGGAACTAGCCTAGAATAAAACGAATCACTAGTTTGCTGACTTAGATTGCTGTCATATTAGCTTCCAAATTAGCTCACTGAGCATTAAAGATGGGGCAAGAACATCTGATTGAGTGGGAGAAGAAAGAAGGTACATTGCTGTAGCAGCAATAACTTAGATCAGCTTAAGTTGTCATGGAGCTACAAGTACAAGTAATGTCTGTAAATCTTATGGGTCAAATAGGGATATTAAATACAAAGTCAAGTCAATCTGTTGCAATGAAAGTAGGAGCTATTTTCACCTGAGTTCACAAAAAACAACTAATCTTCTGTCCTTTATAAGTGTGAAAGGCAACAGTATTGTTTTGTTCATTTCTTCTGTAAGAAGTGGTAGCACCATATTTTTAAAAAGAAAAATGTTTCTGTGAAGCAGACTGTATTCTAAAATCCATTAAAAAAATATTTTTCCTTTCCTTTGACTAGGACTCAATTACAGCAGAAACTGTGGAGCTTTTAGAGCCTTATTTGGATATGGAGGATTATAATCTTGAGACTGCTAAAAAAGTGTGTGGAAATGTAGCAGGTCTTTGCTCATGGACACAAGCAATGGCTTACTTCTATGGTATTAATAAAGAAGTTCTTCCTCTTAAGGTATTTCATATTACTCATTTTATTTTTCTGAGGGATGACTGTAGTTGAGTGGAAAAAATGTCACATTATTTTGGCTAAAAAAGATCATGAGATACAAGAGATTCTTGTTTCTTCACATCCAGTTGTGAAGTCAAGCACACAGAAGTTAAATGCGTCCTGGCAAATTTTTTCCCTTACACAACCACCCTGTGGTACAGGTGTCACTTATGTGAACACAGTCAGTTTTCAATGAGAGCCTTAGTACACAGGTTCTTTATAGAGCCTGGCTATCTGCAAGTGGGAAATACCGATACTGTCTCTGCTCTTGGACTTCGTGCCAGGCACTATGGTTTTGAGAAAACTTCTCCTCCGTCCTACTGGCCTGGGAAGGAGCATGCTCACTGTGGTCTTGGTAGAGTGAGAGAGGAGACATGTTTCTTGGCACAGAAGTATTCTTTAATCAATTTAGCTGGAATTCAGCCCTCAGAAAACTTTGGAGTGTCAAACTGCTACATGTGAGTGTATATCTAATGCAGTAAGTAGTCACCTGGCATAGAATTCAGTTGTAACATTGAACTACAGTAGAAAGGGATCAGCTACCATTGTCTGCGCTCCTACAGATAGCTTTATTATCTTGGAAATGCTTCATTTATGAGCATATTGGAAAAAAAAGGACTTTGAATATTTATATAGTGATTTATAATCATTGCTTCTACAGGGGATTTTATGGCTCTTTTCTGAAGAAATACATTCAATTGGTTATGCTTCCACTGTACTTATGTTCAGTCTTCTATTGTATAAGCCACTGTATCAATGGTATATTCAAAACTCTTGGCTTATTATTTTAGTATAACTAGACAGATCTGATTCAAGTTCATTAAAAGCGTGATATTTTTGATTCAAGTAACTGATAGAGAAGACTATATTTCTGTGACATATAAGTAGCAATTCCCTTTTCAAATAATGGGATGTTCACTAATGAAAACAGAATTTGAAATGTGGCCATTGAGAGCTATAAAAGAGAGCAAGACCTAGAAGAAGTAGTGGCTTTATACGCACATGCAACTCTGAAAGCTGTGAAAGTGCTCTTGCAGTTTTTATTTGAGTATATATGACTTAATATTACGTATAAATGTAACTTTGTATTCAAGTATTTACATTCTTGTCAAACTGTAGCTGATAAAAAACTGAGTATGCATTTCTTGGCAAAGTGGTGCCTATTGTCAGGTATAGCAACAGTCACAAATGTTTTAAAACTGAAGATGACAGAGGGAAGAAGTGTTTAAAGTATGCAGGAGATATTGCTGGAAGCACTGGAGTGATGCTAAGAAAATAATTGAAAATAAATGTGCGATTAAACTGCGTAAAGTACTAGCACAGGCTAAATCATCCAGTGCTAAAAGCAGTTTTACTGAATGAATTAATCAAGCTGCTTTATCCTAACTGCTGTTCTAGGAGATAAACCCCCTTCAACACCTGCAAAATCCATCCAGTATATTTTTAAATTGCATCTTAACTGAGACTCAGTGCCTCATTTATCTTAAATGTGACAATTTGTGAAAACTAATTAATAGTGACTTATATTTTAGTAAATATAGTGTGCAAAAATTAACTCATTCCTAGAAATGGATACCTGCATTCTTTACATATGTGGCCTGCAGCCTAAGGGTCATTAGTTAGAATCAAACACAGAAAGTATAACCAGATGTTGCCTGCAAATACAATGCTGTGTAGTTGCTTACCAGATACTGGTCACCATGGGTGTGCTACTTTCCTATAAACCTTCAGCACAACCGTGAGCCATTCCCCTCTAGCTTGTTACCTAGTAAACAAGCCTGCTGGATTAACCTGATAGTTGTGAAACATCATCTGCTATTTATCCATTAGTTGAAGAATATAACAGCAGAATGAAGCAGCCCTGGCTTTTGCTGTGATTCTGTTAGCCTCCAATTAAAATACTGTGTATAGGGGTGTAATTTCCCTTAGAGATGTCTCCACTGATTTTGGTTAAGTTCTCCTTAGGCTGTTATGATGATCAAGGAAAGTTTGTCTACAGTTTATAAATTCTGTTTGATATTGAGGATTCTCCCTGTCAAACTCAGTTTTAAATATAAGACTTCATTGCCTTTTCTGCTTTCGCTTGTCTCTGTGCTGAACTAAAAACCATAGTAGGCAGTAAGAGGAAATCTTGCACCTGAGGAAGAGATAACAGTCAAGGAGTGTCAAAATTTGATCATCGTCCATTTAAGTAAGTTTGTCCTTGTCAAGGTGATGCCCTCTGGGCAGAAGAACAAGCATCCAAGTCCGAATTCAAGGCCCAAAATAACTGTGTAAAGAAAACATATACTCTGAGGGGTGAAGGGGAAGATTAGATCACCTAACAAAACAGATTGAAGTCAGGACATGTAACTGAATGGAAAAAATGGAGTATCTTTCAGTAGCTAGTAGAGGCTGTGAAAAGCAGATAAAAGGCATGATCTCTGTGCCTTTCAAAGGTTGTTTTGATCCCAAAGAATGGTCAGTGATAGCAAAGAAATTGAGGCCAAGATTTATGACATATTAATGTCACTCTGCATGGATCTGTTTGCGTGTGTACATATGTATATATGTATACATATGTATACATGTATAATTTTTTTAAATTGGTGAAGTGAAAACATTGGTTTTGGAATGTCTGCAAAACCTGTGTTGTGTTTGCCTGTCTTATAATGTTTCCCTAAATAATGATGGATCCAAACTTATCATGATATTGTGGCTCTGAGAAAGTTGAAAGTTGATACAAAACCAGTGGAGTGTCTATGTGAAAAATCTGCAGTAGTCTGGGACAAGAGCAGCTTGCGATTGCATTGCCATGAAGAGTTGTCAGTCAGATCCCATATGCCCAGGACAGGACTGAAGCAAAAGGCAAAGGTGGTCACCCAGCACATCCACATAGGCTCATGAACAGAGTGACAGTGTCCTAGTGCAAGAAGCCTCCTGGCCTGGTCCAGCAGTAGTGAGTGCTCAATGGACTGTAAGAACAGTGAACTTGGAAAGCTAAAATTCCCAAAACAAGAGAAATGCTAGGAAAGCTCCAAACCTTACTTACCTGTGGTGAACTATAAAGTTTCAGCTGCCTTTTTTCTTATGGGCTCTCCTAGTAACATTTCCTGAATTTACTGAGCAACAGCTGCTCTTCAGAGTGATCTGGAGTTGTTCTGGGCATTCTATTCAAGAGCAGGGACAGTGTTAAATAGTGTGAGTTTTTTTATTGGAGAAGGCATTTTTATTTAAATGCCTTCTTGGATCAGGGCCAGGTATACTCGGTGGTTTGCAAAATTGAGTTTGCAATGAATCAACGAGAAACTTATGGCTATGTCAAGACTAATAAATTAAACAGTACTAGGGAATTTTTCTAGACATTGGAAAGTGATCATCTGCACTGTTATGTTGTTAGAATGATCCCTAGTGTGAATTTGGTCTTGGCTAAGCAGCATTTTCTCAGCAACCTCTGGGCACTTTTCAGGAACTAGCTTGGTTCAAGGGCCATTTCCACAAGGCTCTCTGCATGCAGCAGTACTGTTTTAGAGGCTGGGAGGCCTTAATGTGAGCTGGTTTACACTAGTTAACCTCAGTGCCAGAGAAAGGTCCTGGGCATGTTTAATTTAACAGTATAGCTGTGGACTGTAATTACAAGTTTATTTGTCCTGGTTTTATGTGGAATTCAAAAAGGTTAAAAGGGGCAGGATCATCTCACCAACTGCTATGAAGTCCTCTCTGAGGGCATCTCGGAAGAAGGCAAAATAGCTGCTTAATAATTTAGTCTGTGACCCTTGTTGGCACAGGTACTGTCTCCATACTTGCCCCATGTAGACAGACGCAGAGAGCAGGTAGAGGCACTGGGTGGAGCAGATGTTGAGAAGATTGTCTGCGTGGTTCCCCACAATGCCAATGGCAAGAAGAGGCTGAAGCTGCTGCTCTCACACAAGCCTAGGCATGTTATAGTGTAGCCCCCTTCTCCGGAGCACAGATAAGAGATCTCATGTCTCGAATCCTCATGATTCATTCACATAAATTCCATTTATTCAGGCTTTCGCACTGCATCCAACTGGAACAAATTGTGAATCTTTGCTTTGCTGCGTGACTCAGAGGAATGAATGAAGGGTGTGAAGCTTGTTCACATAGCAATGACACTAAAATTAGAAAGGCCACAGTGCTTCTTTGTGGTTGGGAGACACATCTCCTTCCCGCCTGTAATTGGCTGGAAATCTTTGTATGAAGCTGCTTGCGACTGTAATAGCCTTCTTGTGCAGAAGATTCTCCTTGGCAGCAGAACTTGCCTGCTGCTCTCATGGCAAAGCTTTGCACAGGAAGTTGCCAGCCAACCTGCCAGTGATATCAATACAAAAGCAGTGTTTGTACCCAAGTAATTTTAGAAAAATGGAGTTCGAAGGAAAGACAGGGAGAGAGCAAATAGTGATGATTTTATAGGGTATCTGAAACAAGTATTGTTTCTGCCTTTGGGAATCACATAGATTGGGCATCCTGGTATGTTAGCAGTCATTCTTGTGCAACCAACCATTATTCATCACATATGATTAAGCAGCCTACAAATCAAACTAATACCAAAATGTATTTCTACTTTGTTATGATTACCCTAAAATTGGCTGAAAACCTTGGTTAAATTGTCTGTAAAGTAATTTCTTATTATAAGTCATCTTCTAGAGATCCTGTAAAGTCTTGTGTAAATGATTTTGGTGTTTTCTTCATGTTAGAGTACAATATATTTTTTCTTTGTACTCATCTGAAATGTTTTTTTGTTGTCCCTACATTTTCAAAGCTGGTAGCCTTTTAAGAGCTTTTAAGAACTGGGAAGTTTGTTTTGTCAGTCTTTTGCACCTTTCTGGGTAGTTTATTGCTGCATGGAGGTCTGTTTTTCATATTTACAAAGCATCATTGCTCATCTGTATTAGGAATTCACATGGTCATGCTTTTCCATCTGTATTGGGAATTCACATGGCCATTCTTTTCCATGGAGGTTCACATCCTGCTGTGATAAATGTCAAGGTGAAATACGAATCCACACAGCCAGGTATAAGTTCTCTGTTTTTCCAGCTGTTCTGCCTAGGCTCTTCTTCCCAACTCTCCAAGAATTTTTTTCCCTGTGTAACCTCACTATTTGTCAGCTGGAGGTGAAACAATATGCCATAACTTTGTTTTACTCCCATTTCTAGCCCTCACAGAGTTTAAGGATAAGAGGATGCTCTGCACTGGGGAGGGGCGGATGAGAGTGATGTAGGAGAGAGAGGGCTGGTGCAGGGCTGTTTCTGGATCTCAGTAAGAAAGGCCCAACAGATGGCTTAATAAGGTAACTGCTTTAATAAGACTGGATAATAAGAGCGGTTTATAATAGCTTGAATGACCAAAAGAGGGAGTTTTCTCTCCAGGGACAGGATCCGCCCTGTGTAGCATGCCATGGAAAAATCTATCTAGGCTCTGTCTGATGCTGCATGAATGTGGGGTGCCCAGCATCTGAAGGGATGTAAGGTTTACTCACTATCTGTGTTCCTCTTCTTACTATGGACCTTTTTAAAGCAGTTGTCTTATTAAGCCATTAGTTGTTGGGCCTTTCTTATTAAGATCCAGAAAGAGCCCTGCACTCTCTCTCTCTCTCACCTCACCCTCCCCACCTCTCACCCGGTACAGAACACAGTAACACTACATCACCTACTCAAAACTCCTTTGCTGTTTAAACTTCTCCTGATAGTCCAAGATTCACTAAAAAACAACAGCTGTGGTTCTGAAATCTGCTTAGCTAGCTCTTAACAGGACTTACTGATTTAACAGTGTTTATCTCTAGGAGATGCTGTTTAATGTGCTCTTTGATAAACGGTGGAGTAAAAATATTTCATCATTCTTACATGATGGAAATTTTATGAGCAGCCATTTCGCTGGCTTATCTCCATTATAAAATATTTGTTTATCTCTAGGATCTGTCAACAAACCCAGTGGCTACAGTAAACAATTCTTTTGCTGACATTGCTATTCTCTAGATGTGTAACTCATAAAGCAGTACTACTTTGTTGATCAGTGCATACATGCTTCTCTAATTCCTTGT